AGAGAGAGAGAGAGAGAGAGAGAGAGAGAGAGAGAGAGAGAGAGAGAGAGAGAGACCTAATGAAATATGTAATCGAGATTACGTGCCACAAAACATATATTTCATACGGAAATTTTAATCAATATCGGCTTGTGTGCAGACGCGAGGCTAAATAGTGCAAACGTAAGGATATATTAAGGAAGTGAACTATCGAAGCGGATCTCTCACATAACTTATTAAGAATGTTGCGTTAGGTATTTGCCGAGGGCAGATTTACCTGTGCAGTCGCGCTCTTCTTATTTACCGGGCCGTATAACGAGTATGTTTTTATTTTGCGCAGTTCTGGAGTTCTTCCCAGCACGAATCGATGCGTGCTGCTTGCATTATTTCGCTTCGTTATTTTTAGTCTTCGGTATTCACGAACAAGGTGCTGAGTATGAGATTATTACAATGAAGCGCGTGTGATAAAAAGTCTTGCGATATACGCGACGCGATGATTTGACCGACTTACGCGTTTCGCTTAGTACTTAGATTTACATTTTCTCTCTTCGTTATTGTACGGCAGTCTCTCGGTTCGGTTCGGAGCAGCGAAGTCTTATGATGTCCCGTCTTTTGAGTGGCCTTCATAACGAAGATAGGATAAATTCGAGGTTTAGGAATGTACGAGAACTTTCTATGTAACTACCGAATCTTATCTCTCTCCTAAGGGAATAATCTCTTCAAAGGTGTATTTTCATACAATTTAACTGCAATAAGCTTGTTGTGTGTGCTTGCTGTGCGTACCGCCCCATTTAATACGGATGTGCGCGGAATGAGGGACTCTTTTAGTTCTTACTGTATGAAATAGGTACGATCGTCTACCTGTCTACGATAATTCCGAATGACGGAGTCACAAGCACATCGCGATATAGCTACGCATAGCATGGCTTGGGAGCTTGAAATTTTACGGAAGATCTAGAGTATATCGTTTCACACCTCTACCGGTATAAAATTATATATTCAAATACATATATCTCTCTTTTATATTCGTGAGACAAGACGTACGGCAAGACACGGCAGAGAGTCACGGAAGAGCGTCTGCCGAAACGCCAGTCGTTGATATGTAGATGACGCGAAACAATTATCGCGGTTCGTTTATTTTTCGCTTGTTATTGCGAGACGAGATTACCTGAACTTGCAGCGCTGGCTATCTGTTTTTACGCGAACAAGAAAGAAAATAGGAAAGAAAGAAACAGGGTGTGTCGATCATGTGATTTGTTTTTCTGAAAGCGGGAATGTGAAGAATCTCACGTGAACTTGACGGACTTTCAGTGGTCATGCAACTTCTTGAACAATGAAAATGTGAAAATTTTTATGTAAAACTTTTCGAACTTTACGAAATCACGCTACGGGAAAAGATGCATGATTGATATCCAGATAATGAGCATTAAGGCATATTTTGCGTACTTGCGAAAATGATATTTGATTTGCCGGTGCACTGTGCAGTGACTGCAATATATGTTTTGTACAACGTATGATTCACGAAGATCGAGACGACGAATGCGGCATACACTTGGTCTCGAGGTGTGAGCTCTGGGTAGCGATCATGTAACTTTTTCCCAAGAGCGGGAATGTGAAAAGTGAAAAGTTTCAGGACGACTTTAGGAATCATGTAACTTTCCGAGCGACGGAAATGTGCAAATTTTCACGTGAAACTTTTCACGAGGGAGCGTTCGCGCTGAGGGAGCAGATACATGATCGATAGTCTGAGTGAAACTTGCGAGTATAATAATATCCTAGTTTTTGATCGACAATACTCTCATTCCATCCACGCTCTATTCCAAATTACTATACTACTTAGCCACCACGAAAAATAATGAAATAACGAAAAATAAGTTTATAAGTGTACATAAAGAAAGGAACACAAACGAGATAAGGCGTGATTAGCTTAGCACACGATGAATCAAGCTATCTCGAAATTCCAAACATTTAAAAAATTTACAAATTGGTGTGTGTATATATATATATATACATACATACACACATACGCGTATGTGTACTCTGTACGTGCTGCAGACTTTTTCGTTGATTGTGCAAAAAATTTGTTAATCAGCTTTTAAACAAAAATGATCCAACCCACATAAAATACGTTTTTAGAAAAATGAAGATGAAAATTGAATACATGATTTAAAAAGTATAAGTAGCATTAAGGTTTTTCATAAGAAATCAAGCATGATCAATTCCTCTCTTTAAAAGTATTCATTAACAAGCATACATTAAAAAAAAGTAGATAAGAAAGACAACTAGTAGAAAATAAAAACTATTTTTTTAATTAATTTTAAGCATTCATAAGGCTTTTTTTGCTTTATGTAGAAAGAAGTATAGATTACCCATTGATGAAAGAAAAACTCAAGAATTATAATTTTGTGGGTTGGACCACTCTTGCATAATTATGGTCAATTAATGTCTCATTGATTGATTTTCGTATGCGAGGTAATTGATAATAATGGACGCGTAATTGATAATATTAACACTAATACTCTTCTTTAATTAATCTAACCGACCACGATGCGTTGATGCGTGAAATTATGCATTACGTTGACCTTCTACGCCGTTGAAATCTCAGTGTAATGTCAAACGTCGAAGTATTTCAAAATGTGTGCGATCTATATGCGTATTCCATTTACATGTATATACGTATTTGTATTTCCGTCGTTGTAAATCTGTCGACTTTTGCATCGTGAGATGTGCGGCGGGAGTTGGTGAGTTCACGAAAACTTGCGGATTTTAGTCGTCACGCTCGTACAGTTTTAGATGCACCGAACTTCATGTTCTTCTCGATTGTTTTCTCGTCTTTTGTTGCGATATCATAGATTTATCGGCGTCCCTGCCACACGTCCCGGTTACTCTCAGAAATGAGCGCGAGCGAAGCGTATTTGCTGATCTGTACATTACTCTGCGTACGTCTCTCCGTTTTGCGCTTTGCATAATTTTTATGAAATACAAAGTGACGACGATGTGCCAACCGTACCGTACCATACCGTGGTTGTGGAAGCAATGAGCGAGAAGACTATTCGCGTCTCTGTTTATGCTGCGAGTGTAAAGAGACCGTCGATTTTTGTAATCATTAATTATGTCGAATTACGCCGTTGGCCCATGACAACCGATATAATTGTAACAAATTATCTACTTTTAATATGGTGATGACGAAAGCGAAAACACGAGCGACAAATTGATACGTTTAATTTCACAAGGAAAAGGATACAATAATTCTTATCCGTTAAGTGATTGAAGTGAAGCACGAAAGTCTTATAATTTGTCCGCCTTATCGATTTAATACACACAGTCTCCATAATCCGGATCGTAACTATAGATACGACTTACTATAAACAGAAGTGTATGTATGTGTAATTGTGTGTATAACGTGGCGTATGCTTGTATACGTGTTAATTGCGTTAAAATACTTGTAGGAATATCCTGTGTTTTGTCCTCGACCAAAGCATGTGAAATGTGTATTCTAAAAAAATCGTTTTCTTAAATTACTTTTAAAATTATCTCTTCAGTAATTTTTTTCTCTCCGTCGGATTGCGCACAGGAAC